TCTGCAGCCTCTGCAGGCTCTTTCCCAGGCTCCTGTTTCATGGACCTCCAGCTGCTTTAGGCCAATCACAGATTGGAAGGTGGGAGGAGGGGAAAAGCCAGGGTATTGCTTATCTTCCTTCTCTGGCAGTGTCTCCTTCTCTTTTGTGGCTCCAGCTTCTATTGGACAAGCCCAAAATGATTCCAGCTTTGACTGGTCACCTCATGTCTCTCTGGCTTTAGGGACGGTAGCAGCTCACAGCAATAGATGATTTTGGGTGGCTTCACTGTCCTCAGTTGAGCTTTTAGCCTTTGTAGGCAATTTCCTATGTTAGATTCCTTCTGTTTTCAAAACCTAGAGTGGTTTCTATCTCCTAATCAGACCCTGAATGATACAACTGATGTAAGTATAGGTTAATTGTCATCTATTGAATCATGGCTTCCTTTAATTTTACATGGAAGCCCCTACTTTTACAATAAAAATCATAATAGCTAATACATATAGAAAGAGGACTTTATAAGTATCAGATAAAAGTACTCAGTAAGTCACTAAGCAGAGGATAATTACAGTTTTCACCTCCAGCTTCCCTTGCAGCAGCCATGCTGCATCCCTCAGAGGCACCAGCCGCCCAGGACCCCTCGGTGGTTGGGATATTGTGTACGCAGTGCTCCAACCAGAGTCTGCCGAACCCACTGTGCTCCCTGACATGGGGATGGGACTTGCTCCAAGCTCCAGCTTCTGGGACTTCCCTCAGGGACAGCTCTTATCTTTTGGTTTCTAGCCCTGGGGGTGGTAGCCCCTTCTCTGAGTGATCGCCTGGTTTTCCTCAGCATCCTGGCTTCCAACATCTGGAAACCAATCTCTTCTATTCAGTCTCATCTGGTCAAAATATCTCTGGTATGGCTTACGTTACTCTGTTTAGACCTTGACTGATACATAAATTCTTCTACTTTAATTCCAGTGAGTGATGCACTGATTCTCAGAAACTGGCACTTTCAGCCCATTTATTTCTATATTTATTTCAACTATACCAAGTTTATGAGCTCTTTCATTTGTGTCATTTTTCCTTTCCCCTTCTTTTTGCTCTTTTTTTTAGAAAACAATAAGAATATAAACATTATCAAATAACTGCATAAATACTGTTTACAAACACAGCAACACAGAATTTTTGACTGGCAGGCAATGACTGTGGGATACTTTGAACTTCATTAGCAACTGATACATAAAAGATACGCTTGGTATACAAAGGGTGATTGAGAGATATGGGAATGCTTAAAGATTTAAAAGTCAAGGACCTTCTGTATTTGCTTTCCTGGAAAAAAAAAATTCTATTGGCAGACCCCTATTGCTAGCGTGGTTAGAATACATATATTTATTGGCCATTTTGATCTTCTTGCCCCTGCCAGACAGATTACTTTTTATGTTCTAAGCAGGCAGTGAGGAAACCCAAGAGCTTCCAGCCATAGCCCATTGCTATATGTGGCAGACGGTATTCTAAGATTTCTAAGTATTCTAAGACAGTATCTAAGACAGCCCCCTAGGATTTCAGCCTGTGGTGCATAATCCCCTCTCTTTGAGGATAAGTGAACTTACGAATAGGATGATGCTACTCCCCTGACTGAGTTACATTACGTGGCAGAAGGGATTTTGCAGGTGTAATTAAGCTCCCTAATCAGTTGACTTTGACTTCATCAGAGGGGTGATTATCCTGGGTGGGCCTGACTTAATCGGGTAAGACCTTAAAAGGAATTGCTGCCTTCTTGAAGTCAGAGATTCAAAGTGTAACAGAGAGGACCTTTGGAAAAGGCCACTTTGCATGGGCCCAAGAGTTGTCTCAAGTAGCTGAGAATGGTTCCCAGAAAACAGGGAGTAAGAAAGCAGGGACCTCAGTTCTGCAACCACAGGAAATGAGTTACGCCAATAACCTAAGGAAGCTTGGGAGAGCATCTTTTTAGTCAAACTTCCAGATGACGATTCCCTGATTGACACCTGACATCAGCTTTGTATGACACTAAACTGTGCTGAACTCCTGACCCACAAAACCAGGAGATAACAAATTTGTGTTGTCACTAAAATTTTGGTAATTCATTACACAGTAATAGAAAAATAATACAATCAATAGGGGAATCAATACAAGTAGATTCCATTTGCAACAGCAGCAAAATCCATAATAGCCCCAATAAGAAATATAGAAAAGCTATATAAAGAAAATTATAAAATATTGCAAATGCATAAAAGAGGATTTGGAAAAATGGAAAGATATGTCTCTAAATGGGAAGATTAAATGTTTTGAAGATGTACATACATTTTAAAGGAGTTTCATGACAGATAAGAAATGCATTAATAGTACAATAGGAAAAAAGTAGAAAATTTAAACAGAAAATATGCAGAACATTTGCAAATCTTTGGGAAAGATCACTCTGGAAATAGCACCCAAGATCCTAAACTGATCAATAATCTCTAACTGGAACTGACATGTATAATGGTAGAATGGGCCTAAGTCTTAGACCAAACAAACTCAACCAGACTAAGATGGTAAATTCCAGAGGTTGAAGGATAAGTGGCTTTGCAAACCACAGAGGTAGAGAATTAAGCACAGAGACAACAAAGTTAATCAAATCCATAGCACGAATACTTTGGTGATAACTTCATGGACCTGAGAGACCAGGTGTGTGCAAGCCCTCTGTATGCTATCAATACGAGGACTGTCCAGAAAGTGTTCAGCTGTGTGCTATGAAAAATAGAAATGTTTATTGAAGGAATATTGTATGACATGGGATAATGACACCTCAGTCCCCTTCAAAGGGGGTGCCTTGGGACCTCACACAGCTCTCCCAATAGCCATCAGCTGCTCTGTCATATTTTCCTGAATCTCATTGACAGTCTGAAAGCTCTTCTCTTTCAAAGGTGATTTTAGTTTTCGTAACAGCCAGAAGTCGCAGGGCACCAAATTTGGGCTGTAGGGGGTTTGAGTCACCTGGGTGATTTGATGTTTTGCCAAACAACTCTGCACGAGACTCGATGCATGAGTGAGTGTGTTGTTGTGATGAAGCTGCCAAACACCAGTTGCCCATAGCTTCGACCTTCTGAATCATCTGAATGGTTTCTGTGGAGTAACATTCAAACTTAACACAAATCTTGACGCAGATTCATTGCTCTACTCTCAGTCATTTTGAATGCGAGGGCCACACAGTACATGTGCTCACTCAACGGCACCTACCACTCTGTTCACTCATACACGTTCCAGTCCTCTCTCTTTTGCTGCTTAGTTACATCAATGTCTTGCAAACCATTCTCATTATATTAACAGTGGCTGGACTTTTTCCAGTCAGACCTTATAAGTACATGTACATTGTTCTATATTATCATAGAAATATACATATCTTATTTACTTATCTTGCAGAATAATTTGATTAATTATGTGAATGCATAGTTTTAAAATGCATGAACATTAATACAGGATTAGCTCTTTGCTGAAACCCAATATGGATCCCAATTTGCACAGAGAGGGCCCATGTGAAGTCACTGGGTGACAGGAGCAGCAGCAGGGATTATGATCAGCTGGAAGACAGACTCTGCGGTGGTGCCTCCTCTCCTATCCAGCCTGTAGATTCCTGCCACCTCAGTGGTTTGGCTGCAAAAGTATATCAGCTGGGACCTTGTTTAGCTTTTTACAGGGCTGGTTTCATATGTGCGTGACCTGTGCAGGTGCAGTTAGAGGGGATCCATGCTTGGAGTATTGCTCTGTTGACAGTCTTGAAATTCTCAATAATTTCTTAACAAGGACCCTACACTTTCATTTTGCATTGTGCTGGGCAAATTATGTAGCCACCTCTGGCTTTAGAACCCATTTGGATATTTGCCTCTTCTAATAAACAGGAATGAAACTGGCCCAGGAGCAAGCATTTCTAAAACTGTCCTACCTGCTACCCTGTCAACCTGTTCCTTCTCTGTAATACCCATCCTTTGAGCCTACCATAACGTGCAGAAATCGGGCTGGGTCTCCAAAGAGAACTCCACTGAGTTGAATTTCACCTCAGCAGCACTGCCGTTCGTCAGCAACCTTCGTGTTGCTGCAGGTGTGGCAAGACTTCTGTCCTGCCTGATGCCAGCCAGTGGTGTATAAAGGAGCCTACCTGACCCTACCTGGTGGGTGGTCCGGTTCCAGAGGAGGTTTTCTTCCAGAAAGGACAAAGTACAGATGAAAGAGGGAAAGAAGGGGTTAGAAAAGACATCAGAGATGAAGAGTGATTCCTCAAAATTGAACTTCTATCTGAATGTTGCTTCCTCGCGGAGCAGCAGTTTCCTCATCTGTGAAAAGGGCAAGCAGAGGAAATACCGCCCCCACCCAACCCCCACCTCATTGTCCCAGAGGACAGATAGTGTGTGTACAAGACTGCACTAGTTCCTGGAGCTTAGCAAGTGTTAGCACTTATCAGTAAACAGCGTTTCTTAATCATTTGGGTCGTGGGCCGCTTAGAGAACCTGATGATACCTCTGGCTCTTCCTGCCCCCCTCGAAAAGTCACACCCAAAAAGGAGCTTACAGAAGGTGCCAGCGTTTGACAACCCTTGAGGGCGGTCCCTGGACCCAAGTGAAGGCACGTGCCTCTACAATGTTCATTTAGGTGGTATTATCTTCACTCCCGTCCTCGAAGTCCCCACTGTGTCTACTTGACAACAGCCACTTCACCCCGACTTTGCAGGCGGCTTCTCCAGGCGGTCTCTACAGCCCCGCGAGGGTCCCAGCGGGCTGAGCAGCGGCGGCAGAAGGAGGCGGGCCCGGCTCTCCGCCCGCCCTACAGCAGGTTCGGGGTGGGGGCTCCGGCCTATTACCGGATGGAAACTCCGGGTGTCCAGAGGGGCGGGAGGGAGAAGGGGAGGGAGGGAGGTGCTCGGGTGAAAGGCGCATTGATGCAGCCTGCGCCGGCCTCGCAACGCGGCGGGGCCAGACTCCGATCACGTCCGTTCTCCCGGGCTCCTCCAGCTCCCGCTCCGCGCTTCCCGGGGCCGCCACGCGCCATGCGCCCCCAGGCCCCGGCCACCACCTCCCCTCAGAGGCTCCTAGGCCTCCTGTTGCTCCTGCTGCTGCAGCTGTGGGCGCCGTCGAGCGCCTCCGAGACTCCCAAGGGGAAGCAAAAGGCGCTGCTCCGGCAGAGGGAGGTGGTGGATCTGGTGAGTGCAGGGAGCCGGGCGCTCCGCTGCGCTGGTGGAGGGTGCAGAGCCGCAGGCAGCACCCGGCCAGCGTCAGTCCAGGTGTTGGGGGGTGGGGGGAAGGGGTCTAAACAGCTGGTTGTGTGTGTGTGTGTGTGTGTGTGTGTGTGTGTGTTACTTGCATGCGCCTGTGTGTCCTGCTTTGTCCGAGTCTATAAGTAAGGAAGGACCTGGGCTGTGCATGTAATGGTGCCCTAGAACCAGAATGAGGGGGACGTCGTGGAGCGGAGATGCAACGTTGGACGGCGGGGGCGGGGGGACGCCCCAAAGTACAGGGATTTGCCCAATAATTCCTGGCCTCTGATGTCCCCCACCTCTTCTCCCCTCTGTAAGAATGGAGAGGGTGAGAACAGTAATGAGAACAGAATGAGGAGCTTGGGTAAGTTTGAACGTGTGGGGGCTGCCTGGGAGAGACCCTGGACCAGCTGATTGCCTGGGTGGGCTGGGCCAGGGACATGCAACGTGTCCATTGTTGGGACAGATGGCCACGTCTGCCTGGAGAAGAGAAAAACAACCCTTACAAAGCCTCCATCCAACGCTTTGTAACTTGACGACTGTGAGTCATGTTGGGTCATCTTCCTAGGGAGTATGGGCTGCAATTTACTTTGTTGGACGACCACAGCTGGGGCCAGGAATGGTTCAGACGGTTTATGGCCAGAAGGGGAAATGAAGACCCCGGCATGAACCCTCCAAGGACCATTTTATTGTTCTGTTTAGACAGATAGGCACTCACTCCTTTCAGACACCTGGGTTTTCTGCCTGTAGTCACCAGGTGGGAACATCACAGTTGAGCTGAGCTGGAAGACAGTTTCCAGGAGAGCAAATAAATAGCCCAAGTGCTTTCTGAGGAGCTAATCTATGGGAAGGTCTGTTCGCTTAAAGCTCTTTCCTTCTAAAAATCAACAAACCCAAGGGAGGACAAGAGTGATGCTTTCCCAACTACCATATTCCTTGGCACATAATATCTTCAATCCTTAAGCCAATCTTAATTGCAGACAAATATGGTTTACAGGCATTGCCGGACATGAGAGGGGGCATTTTTTAATTTTTATTTTTTTTAAAAACTGTTCCGAATATGGTAAGCTGTCCTTATAAACTGAGCTAATAAATCAAGCTCCCTGACATATTAAAGAACCAGATTCAAAAGCTCTGGAAAAAAAATTCCTGCCATTTCACACAGCAGTTTTTGGTGATGTGCTGTGTAATTTTGCTCCACAAAGCAGAATATGTGTTCAGGACTGCAGTTCTATTTTTAAGTGTCTAAATTGTTTAAAATTGCACCAAGTGAATGTGGTTCATGTGAAGCTTGCATTTTGTGAATTTGTAGTTATGATACACAAAATAACCCTTTTCTCCATAAAACTAGCAATTTTTTTTTCTTTCCCTGCAAAAATTTACACTACCTGTGGTTTCCCACAACTCTAGCCTGACTTGGGAAAGCTTACTGCAACCAGGCTCAGGTGCGTCCTGGAGCTTGGATTTGGTTTTGCTGGGGGAAAAAAGGTCCACAGAGTCGTTAAGAAAGTTTCAGCAGATTCTATAAAGCAACTTCTTTGTACACATCTTTCAAAGCATTTCTTTCAAGCTTCCAGCAAGCTCTGCCCCCTGGTGGCTAGTGAAAGAAACAGGGGTTCATGCCACGTATCTTACCCCTTACCTGGTAGGTACCAAAACGAGTGCTGAATTAGCTTTTTAAAGTAAAAGAAGACAGATGTAATATCTGTGAAACCAAATTCAGTAAAATTTTGTGGTGTTTTAGATTAAAAAGTGAATTAAAATTTTCATCCATGGCCCTGCATTTTGAGCTAGACACTTCTTTGTTGTCCAAACTGTCCTGTGCATTGTAGCATATTTAGCAGTATCCCTAACCTGTACTCACTAGATGCTAAGAGCAATCCCACCTCCCAAGTTGTGACAACCAAAAATGTCTGCAGACATTGCCAGTGTGTTCTGGGGGGAAAAGTGGCCCCAGTGGAGAACTACTGATAAATATATAGGAAAATAAAACTTTGTGTAGCATCTTGTCCTAAGGGGAACAATAATGAAGAAATTAAAGAATTTCATCAGTGTTACTGTTTCTCCTTTTCCACTTGAAATCTATGTCCAAACATTACATGTATCTGCAAATGTGAATGAATGAAATTACTAAAATGAAAAATTAAGTCTAAAATTAACTAGACTATTTTAGAATACTTTATACTTTAGCATGTCTTCTAATACTTTGGCAGCTTTGTTGCTTTTCTTACTGTTTCTCTGGCAAAAAATAAATAGCACTGTCATTTTTTCCCCTACATTCAAGAAAATAGCACTGGTCAAAGTCACAGAGATCATTTCTCAAAGCAAAGATCAAATCGGTGAGGTGAAATGCAAATTGATTGGCAAACATTAGAGACATAAGGATCCTGCCTAAGCGGTGTCATTATTGGATTTTATAACATGACCATGTCTATCCCCAGATGGTGAACTTAAAAGATAAGCTTTGAAGTTATTTTAATATATAAGGAGACTTGTTTTTTTTTTCTGATTGGACAGTATATATATATATATATAGAATGATAGTATATTTATATAGAATTGTAGACTGTGACCATATGTGCAAATGGGAGAATGTTAAAATAAAATTTTAAGTGGATTGGGTCTGGGATTTGGAAGATCTAATAAGTGGGTCAATTTGAGAATTAGACTGATGGGGATCAAAATCTCACCTTTACCACTGATCTGACTACACTGATGTGTGTGGCTTTAGTGTGTTGACTGTGGGGTTTGCCAATACTCCCTTCTCCCTGGTAAGGGCCACCTGAGGGAGAGGACACACTTGCCCAGTATCACTTGCCCAGGGTTCATGCTCTTGGAGGAATGATAAGAGTAATCATGGCTGGCGGGTTCAGTGTTTACTACTGTGTGCCAGGCACTGATCTAAGTACATATCATATATTATCTCATGTCTCATACAAACCCTACAAGATACTGAAGAATCTTTATTAATCCCCATTGTACAGATAGAGAAGGAGACACTGACATGTTGAGCAGTTTGCTGCATCTCACACAGCTAATGCTGGTGGAGTCAGGATTAAAATCCAGAGAACCTGACTCTGGAATCTGTGCTTTTCACTTCTACATGCTGCTGCTGCTGCTGCTGCTGCTGCTGCTGCTGCTTCTGCTTCCCCTCCCTGCCAAGAAAAACAGAGAATCCTGGCACTCGAGATGTTTGCTAGATCACTGCCACCCTGTTGAAGACTGGTAGTCACCTGCAATAAGGTCATTGGCCCCTTCTCAGGGAGGAGGAATGGCACTGGCAGTCAGAAGTGTTACTCTAGTGACGAGTCCTCCACATAGAAAGTATAAAGTCTGTGCAATTAAAAGAATAGGAAATCGATCACAATATTTTAGAAATAATTTTAAAATCAGTTCTCTCTAATAAGTCATCCGGAACAGGAGCAAGTGGTATGAAAAGATTCTTGCCTCCAAGGGCTCAAGATAAATACGGTTCTAATCAGATCAGAGTCCTTGAGTGTTAAATGGTAAGAGGTTGTTCCCCCCTGTCCTTTTTCCACTGTAGTATAATGGAATGTGCTTACAAGGGCCTGCAGGGGTACCTGGTCGAGATGGAAATCCTGGGGCCAACGGCATTCCTGGTACCCCCGGGATCCCAGGCCGGGATGGATTCAAAGGAGAAAAGGGGGAGTGCCTGAGGGAGGCCTTTGAGGAGTCCTGGACACCTAACTACAAGCAGTGTTCATGGAGTTCGCTGAATTATGGCATAGATCTTGGGAAAATTGCGGTAAGTAAAATCTGAATTATTTTAAAGTTGATGCAAAACAGAAGGGTTTTCATAGTTGAGTGTTAATTTTAGGTGAGATTTTATTTTATTTTCACCAAAAGACTTAAAAAAAAATGAGGAGGAGGTAACATGTGACTTTAACATAAAGTTAGAAAAAAATTGATAATGTTTCAGAGTTAATTTTATAAAGGTGTTTCTAAAACAAATAAATCATCATATTATTTTAACCTTAATACCTCACATAACTTACTTTTTTTAAAAAATGCGAACAAAAAGGGAGAGCATACGTGTCTGTGTCCACATGATTGGACAGTAAGCAACTTTCCAATCTTATCCTAACATAAATTTAAATTAGTCTAAAAAATTCTGCCATGGCTCCAGATATAAAGGTGGAAAGAAATTTCAAAGATGTTACCACCTGATAGGAATCATCTGGACTTGGCAAGTCTGTTGGTGTTAAACCTTTTTCTGGGTAGCTGGCCTAGCTTAAAACTGCTCAGCCTAAGTGGAATGACTAACAATGTACTACAGTGACCATCTTAATTATTCTGCAACAGTTTGGGGACAAGTTACTCAAAATAGCCTGGCTGGCAATGCATTATGATTAATGACTCAGTTACTTTGATCACTGATTGCTTCAAAAATAATTGGCAAGTCTACTGGGATGTCATCAAGTTGAAGTTGGTGCTATTTCTAAGCCTTCCTTTTGTTGACCAACTCTGTACATGGTTCCATATTGTATTACTTGATGATATTAACCACTACTATCACCAGGCAGATACGAGAGATTTTATTTTCATAAAACTCAATGGTTTTAATCTTATGTGTATTATTCCCAGTTTTTATCACTGCTCTTTGATGTCTGCTCTATTACTTATAAAAAGTTTGTGACTATCTTAATTTGATTTTTATGTGATAGAATTTCCATAAAAATTCTTCCATAATTTTTGCGCCTGTGACCATTTTAGTTTTCTTTGTGATTTCTTAGAAAGCACTTTGTTGAAATGTTGCCTACTTCTTTAACCATCTGACATTGAAAGACTTGTTGCTTATTTATAGTTCATCCAAAGTGGCTGAGTTCTAGCTAAAAGCAATCCCTATGGACTCTGAATTATCTATGTGTTTTGAAGTTCCTTTTAGCAGTGGTCAGAATGGGCTTGGGAGCTGTCTACAAGTAAAAGATAGTAGGGCCTATCTTTTATATTGGCAGATAAATTTTACAGACCAGTTAGAGGGGAAAAAAGAAAAAAAGAAAAAAAAGAAGACCTGGGCCTTATAATTGTGTCACACAGGTAAAGACTAAAAACCTCACCCATGCTTGAACCCCTGGTACTGTTTGCTGTTGATCAAGTAAAAATTGGTCAAGACTAAATATATAGGGACAGTACTGGTCTAGAATGTGAGTTCCATGAGGGCAGAGAGTCTATTTTGTTTACTGCGGTATCTGTAGCATCCAGCACATAGGGCTCAGGAAGTATTTTTAGAATGGGAAAAAAAGAAGAAGTAAATATATAGGTTGATTTGTTCCAAATACTGAAGACTAGCTCTTTTGGTAAAACTGAAAGTTACCTTCAGTGGGGTGAATAATTCTAAAAAATGCCATAATTTGATATATATATATATATTTTTTTTAGAATTCCTTATATCAGAGTCACTTATCTGTCTAGCAGAAAATCCTTTTCCCTCTGTAAAAGTTAAGCTTTTTAAATGTGATTTGGGTCAAGAAAAGTTAAAATTCACAATACAATGTGAAAGCATCTTTTTAATTAAAGTAGAAAATGCTAATCAAACCGCATTTCTGTGTCTGTGACAGGAGTGTACCTTTACAAAGATGCGTTCGAACAGCGCTCTAAGGGTTCTGTTCAGTGGCTCACTCCGGCTGAAGTGCAGAAGTGCGTGCTGTCAGCGCTGGTATTTCACATTCAATGGAGCTGAATGTTCAGGACCTCTTCCCATTGAAGCCATAATTTATTTGGACCAAGGAAGCCCTGAACTCAATTCAACAATTAACATCCATCGTACTTCTTCTGGTATGTCGAATAGTGATATTTTGAAGAGTGTGTCTCAGATCTTTAGAGACCAAAAATTAGTTTTGAGTCCACTAATCATGTCAGGTCACTAAGACAGCAAGTTTTTAGCCCATGATGCTCCAGCCTGGTTGCATTTAAGAATTTCTTGAAATGGATCTTTTAAAAAATATGCAGATGCCTGCATCCCATCTCTGACCAACTAAGTCAGAATCTCTGGGGGTAATACTGTTTTTTTGGTTTTTTTTTTAAGATTCCCACAGTTGAAAGTCACTGAGTTTGATGAAATGGCAAAACAGTGCCAAGAACACCACAGAGCAGTGGTTTTCAGCCTTGGCTACACATTGGGCTCAATTGGGGAACTTTAAAATCTCCCCAAGCCACTTATCATCCCTCCAGGGAGTCTAACTTAATGCATTTGGGCGCAGCCTCGGCAGTGGGACTTCCAGACTCTTTCCTGGTTACTGTCATGTCCAGCCAAGCTTGAGAACCTCTAGCTTAGATTGATGAGGAGACAGATTTCTCTGCCTTTTCTTTTAAAATAGTAGATACAGTCTGCTGAATTCATAAAAGAGAACATCTCTATACTGTTCCTACATTTCGGTTTGTTTCTACCTAGTATGAGAGAAAAGATATTCAATCAAACCAGTGGTCACTTAAGCTGTAAGACAAAAAAATTGGTTTATTTTATTCTATTTTAAGGTTCATTAAAGAAAGCTTAGAAGAGGGAGAACTATCTTTTAATATCATCACCCAGACACACCACTATGCATATCGGGCTACTGAGCTCTTTGGTTTCTTGAGTGGCTGTGGGGCAACGCACCACGACAGCACAGGCTGGGAGAGCCCCAAGAAGTCTCTATCGTTAGCTTCATTTCCCTGGTTTCTTGAAGGGGTTTTTCACTAATCTTGTACTTAGAAATGGCAGCTATAAAAGAAAAGACTCCCATCCTCCCCACCCCCATCCTCTGCCCAATGTTAACCAGAGGAATTTATATTACAGCATGCTTTGGGGAGGAAGTCAAATACTTAACACCCCAAACCAATTATCTCTAAGAAATCAAGAGCAACCTTTCTACATTCTTCCTCAAATCTCCACAATATCCTCAAGGTATTTTAAGGAGGAGATATTTTAAGCCCCTCTCTGCACATAGGGAAGGCCCAGGGAAATAAAGTGTTTCACCCAGGACGGCAGAATCAGTGCTGAGGAGAGCAGAAGCCAGACCTTGCCCTCCCTCAGGTCTCTGCAGCCCTCTCTTTGACCAGATTAAAAAGCCTCATCACTAGGTCCTTAGATACAAGTACTGGGGAGGAAGATGTGCTTTCCCTCCAAGAAGAAGTCTCTAAAATAAGAAAAATCTAGATATAAAATTAAAATTTGATTAGCAAATGGTGTGTGTTAGAGAGCAATTGATATAAACCACTTACTTTTTATTATATTATCTTTAAGATCCCTGTGTTAGTATCTTGCTAGAATAAAAGCCCTTGGGCCCAGGAACTGTGACCTATATATACATATACTTTATAAATTATTTAACAGCGTTTACCGGCCATGATGTGAAACCTCATTCAGTGTGATCAGTTGGGTGGAATGTCAGAACTGATTAGTATTCTTAACAGTTTTTATATTAAGATGGATTGAAGGTGACCGCTATAGTAAAATCATCGTCCCTTGCACACTGATACTCTTTTCTGAGGGAAAGGGAATGGGATGGACTTATATTAGCACATCAGAGGATAACTTAACACCTTGGATATGGCCAGGGCAGTTTGAAAAACATTTGAATGCCATGTTGTTACCTGGGTCAAGGAGGAAAATAGGTTGAGAACCTTTAATCCAACATATTTTAGCTATTTAATAAACTGCAATACTATTTAATCATAGCAGAAATGTTCATTCAAAATATTTTTTTCATTTGTTAACAACCATGAAGTGACCATTTGACTCTCCTGCGTAAAGTTAATGCTAGAACCAAGCTTGTCTGACGTCCTGTAGGTTTAAGTGAACACATTTCTAGGCCATGGATGGCAGGACCTTGGGAAAATATGAGGATTTCTGGGCATTCCCACCCGGCGCGGTACTTACTGAGGGTACTAGATTAAATGGGACTCGGGGCACACTGCTTAGTTCTCCCAACTTTGAAAGGGGCCTGAACCAGAGCCAGGCCCCTGGATTCTGAGGGTCTTGCCTCATCAGATGGCTTCAGGCCTACATCCCTGAGGCTCAGCTGGAAGTCAGTAAACTACCAACTAGGAAATCTGACCAGTCACCTGATGTCACCACTATACTCTGCATGTGTTAGGACTCATTTTCTTAAAGAATCTGAAACTCTGGTTCCTTTTTCCCTGCACACAGATATCAAAGGCATTATATCTTTTTGCTTGTTAAAATGACCACTGAGGCCAGGAATTTTTTTAAGTTTTATTTTGAATGTAGGTGAAGAAGATGAAATGCAAGTTGTGTCTTAGTATGTGAAAGTCCAGAGACCCTGAGAAAAAGTATATATTTACATAGCAAAAGAGGAAAAGAAGAGTTGTTTGTATTTTTCACTGCGAGGAAATTCTGTGTAAAATGGGATTCCCAAATTGAGGGACAGGTATAATGATTTGCTAGAATTTCTTTTAATGTTATAAAAGTTATTTCTTTTACTTGAATACCATTAAGTGAACAAACAGGTGTTGGAAAAGGCTTTCTTTAAAAAGGACTTGCAGGAGACCATATTTGCCCATGATATATCTGATAAAGGGCTGATATCCAAAATTTATAAAGAACTTACATAACTCAACACCAAAAAAATAAAGCAATCCAATTGAAAAATGGGCAAAGGATCTGAATAAACACTTCTCCAAACAGGACATACAGATGGCCAGTAGACATATGAAAAGATGCTCAATATCACTGATCATCAGAGAAATGCAAATTAGAACTACAGTGAGATATTACCTCATATCTGTCACAATGGTTGTCATCAATAAGCCAATAAATAAATATTGGTAAGGTTGTGGAGCAAAGGGAACCCTTGTGCACTGTTGGTGAGTGTGCACATTGGTGCAGCCACTGTGGAAAACAGTATGGAGTTTACACAAAAAATTAGAAATGGAACTGCCTTATGACCAGCAATCAACTTCTGGGAATATATCAGAAAAAGCCCTGAAACAATGATTTGAAAGAATATATGCACCCCTATGTTAATTGCAGTGTTATTTACAATAGCTAAGATTTTTGAAGTAGTCCAGGTGCCCATCAGTAAATGAATAGATAACAAAGTTGTGATACATCTACACAATGGAATACTACTTGGCTGTAAAAAAGAAAAGGAAATCTTACGTTTTGCAACAGCATGGATGAACCTGGAGAACACTATGCTAAGTGGAATAAGCCAGTCAGAGAAAAACAAGTATCATGTGATTTCACTTATATGTGGAATCTAATGAACAAAATAAACAAACAAATATAAACAGACTCATAAGTACAGAGAACAGACTGACAGCTGTCAGAGGGGAGGGGAGTTGGTGAAGGGATTAAGCAAAAAAAAAAAAAAAAACAACCAAAAAACACTCCTTATAGACACAGACAATATGGTTGGTGATTGCAAGAAGGAAAAGCAGGGGTGTGGTCAGGGGAGGTAGAAGAGGGTAAAGGGGGATAAATATGATGGAAAGAGACTTGACTTTGGATGGTGAACACATGATACAATATACAGATAATGTGGTATGGAATTGTACCCTTAAAACCTCTGTAATTTTATTAACCAATGTCACCCCGATAAATTCTATAAAAACTTTCAAAAATAAAAAAGACTTGAAAATCAAATCAAAGTCTTGGCTTTTAAAAGTGTAGGCTTCCTTTGTTGAGTCAAATAAATTGCTTTTATTTTTTTTAGGTGATATCTTTAAATAAACAAATGCTGGTTTTATTGTTAAAACCTATAAGAAAAATGCCTGTTAAACTTCTATCATGGAGTGGATATGTATTTATCTTTTAAAAGTATTTATGTGCTAAGAAAAACACTTATCCAGTATATAGAAATTTTAATTCACTGTACACTAAATATATTTATTATCTGGTTTGCTAAAGTAACAAAGTTTAACTAAAGGTTGTTGTGTTCTAAAGAAAGGTGTGCCTCTCATCTTTGTTTTGCAGTGGAAGGACTTTGTGAAGGAATTGGAGCCGGATTAGTGGATATCGCTATCTGGGTTGGTACTTGTTCAGATTATCCCAAAGGAGATGCCTCTACTGGATGGAACTCAGTGTCCCGCATCATTATTGAAGAACTACCAAAATAAATTCTTTAATTTTCATTCCCTACCTCTTTTTTATTAGACCTTTGAATGGTTCATTTTAGTGACATTTTATATAATTTTTAGTATATCTGAATGAAAGACAAAGTGTTTACAGACCAAAGTGTGATTTCACACAGTTTTTAAGTCCAGTATTACTCATTTTCCTTCAGTAAAAGATGGTTTCAGGATTTTGTAGTTGAATAGAATACTTTCTTCATATTCCCATTCCCTGAACCTATAATTTAGAATGTCATGGTGGTCTTTAATTTTTTCCTATTCTCTTAGTATAGCACTTTTTAAAATATAAATGCTACTATTTGTACAAGTTGTAAATGTTCAAAATTGTTTTATATCTGTGAAATAAAACTTATTTCAAACAACCTCAATATCTTTAACCTAATTCCTACTAAAATTAGGGTGTCTAGTACTTTATGTCTGGAAAATTGAGTATAAACCTAATTTTGTATTTATTTATTTTAAAGAGATATATTAAATTTAGAGTATATGTATAGTACTATTTCATATTTTGAGGGATACAAAGAAAAAGAAATTTATATGTCAGGAAATTCACTAGCACTTTAGGGATTTTATCTTTTTTTAACAAAGGAAAAAGGCACGAATTGTGGCCTCAAATTGCTTACCATTTGGTAGGGAGGATAAGATGTATATTTAAAAAATAACAACAAATCAAAAATTATTTGTTGATTGCCATGAAAGGTGTTGAAGGGAGCAGTATAATTCAAAGGATGAGCTATCAGTTCAGGCTGAGGGCCTCAGAAAAAATTCTTGAAGAAGGAAGTGCAGGTATTAGACTGAGAAAGTTAAGTAAATCCTGTGCTTAGGTTGGAAGTATCAATATAAATTCATAAAGTACTTTATCTTAAATAAAGCTATAAAACAATAACAACAGACTCTTGTTTACTGAAAAAGCCTAGAAAAAATGACCAATTAAGTGATGGTCAGATTGTGATTTCTGCATACCATTTCCTACTGAAAGGAACTAAGGCTACATGAACTAATGGGGGATTTCAGCTCTGGGGCAGGAAATGTACAATGTGAGCCCAGATCAGCTTGGCATTACTAGAAAACAAGGCAACTATCAAAGACAATGGAAAAGATCTAAGAGGCAACTTGAATTGGTTCCCACTGACAAAGATGATATGATTTAAGCATTAATAATCATAATGACTGCAGTGGTTTGAAATGCATCAAATATGTTTAAAGTGCCTGACTTCATAATGATATTCACATAAAATTTATCAGTCAACTTAGAGGACACCAGCAAATGAAATTGTTACTTTGAAAATCTGTATTAATACATAACAAAAAGAAAAAGCATTTACTCTGCTTTCTCTATATATGAGCAGTATTTTTGGGTAACCAAATTGTTGATGAAGGGAAATATTTCCTTATAGAAGTGTGTGTGTGCGCATGTGCACATACACAACCTCTCGTGAATTAAGGGATCTAGCAGTGATCATCAATGACTGATAACATTTCAAAAAGAAAGACCAAACTATATGCTTCTTAAAGAAATTACATTATACTACCCAAGAAGTAGTTTTGCCAAGAAACAATCAAACCTGTATCTGATTTAGCCTCTAGATATAACCATCAAATTTTAGGAAATACAGAGGACAGAAGAAAATGTTTATTGACATGACAGGGTTATAATCAGCAAATCCAGACAAGGAAACTCAAAAGACAACTTGATACCTTCAACAAATGGCAAGAAAAAAGAAAGAGGGGAAAAAATATATGGAGTAAAAGAGATTTCATCTCATATCAACCCATTTCAATGTTTGAACTTTATTTGGGTGCTTAAGATAGTTGAAGACATGAATGTTAGATGTTTGATATCAAATAATTATGTATTTTTAGGTGTGATAATTGTGTTGTGGTTATTTTTAAGTAGTGCTTATCTTTTAGAAATACTGAAATGTCTAAGATAAAGTGATATTGATGTCTGGCACTTGCTTCAAAATGATCTGGAAATGAAAAGTGGATGAGAGGGAATGTTGATGAAAAAATGTTGAAGACAGGTGGAAGTTAACCAAGATGGGTCAATTTTTTGGCAAATAGAGACTGGGATAAATAGAAAGGACATTTTGGGTGGGGACAAGAATACTGGTTAAGACCTCTTTAAATAGTCGTAGACTGTGAAGATATTTGTGTTCCATGAGAATGCCTACCAAAGAGCATTCACTGTAGAGGAGATTCTTAATAATGAGGTGCAAAAATAATATTCTGAATGGCAGTCAGCTTCTTTCCCCAGCCACTCCAGCACTAGTTCAATGGACCCATGAACAGAGAAGCCTTGGTGGCAAGGATGGAGGCTATGTATGGGTTCAACAACGTGGAACACTAGTGCTACTGTTGAGTAGAGACCAACCTGAGTCCCTAATATGGCACTATTTCCTGGGGGGACAAGCCAGCTGCCTGGCTTACATTGGACTTCTATCATGGAAGGGCAGAGATTCAGTTGCACAGAAATTGACATATACTCTGGATACAGATGTGCCTTTTCTGACTAATTCTTCTGCCAGCACTACCATCCACAGACTCACAGAATGCCTTATCTCCACTGTCATGGCCTTCCACACACACCGCTTCTGCTCCAGAAACTTCGTTTCACAACAACGATGCGCAAAAGTGGGGCTCACCCATGGAATTAACTGGTTTTACTACATATCCCATCACTTGGGAGTGGCTGGCCTACAGGAAAGGCGAAATGGCGTATTGAGGACTCATTATGGTACCAGCTTGCAGACAACATCCTGAAAGAATGGGGTTCTGTCTTACAGGGTGCAATTATACTTTGGATCAGAAAGCATCATATGGTACTCTCTCTCCTATAGACAGAATCCGGGCAGTAGAAGTGCGGCAGGCTTCACTCACTATTACCCCTAATAATCCATTTGTAGACTTTTCGCTTCCTGTCCTGGCAACTTTGAACTCTGCTGGTTTGCAGATCTTAATATCCAAAAGGAGGATGCTTCCACCAGGGGAACAACAGTCATTCCACAGAACTGGAAGGTGAGACTGTGTGTTAGGTTTCTATTGGCTGCATAACAAATTACCACACCTTTAGCGGCTTAAAACAACACAGATGTATTCATCTGGTGGTTCAAGGGTCTAGGTACAGGTTAGCTGGGTCCTTGGCTCAGAGTGTGACCAGGCTGAAACCAAAGTGTTGGCAGGGGCTCTGACCTCATCTGAGGCTCCAGAGCCTCTTCCCAGGTCACATGGTTGTTTGCAGATGTCAATTCTTTACAGCTGTGATTAAAGTCCCTGTTTGCTTGCTATTAGCGGAGGATTGCTCTCAGCTCCTATAGGTTGCTCTCAGGTCCTTGCCACGTAGATCCTCCTTTCACAAAAGGGCTTTTTCCTCTAAACTGGCAAGGGAATGAACTCTTCTGCTTTTAAGACTTGCTAATTAGGTAGGTCAGACCCATCCAGGATAATCTCCTTTTGGATTTTAGTTAACTGATTAGGGACCTTAACTGCACCTGCAAAATTCCTTTGACATATAATTATGGAGGTGATATCCAATAATACTTCAGGTCCCAACAGTACACAAGGCAAAATTATAGAGGGTATGTACACCAGGGAGTCCATCTTAGAATTCTGCCTACCTCAGACTGCCACCCGGCCCTTTTGTTTTCCTTAAACCACTGAACCAACAGGTGAAAACAGAAGGGTACTCAATTGGCTGTAGTGATTGATCCCATTTACCAAGGGAAATTGGTTGCTGCTATGGCGGAAGCAAGGAGGACTGTGTTAGAGAACCCTCTGCTAGTTAGAGAAGGTGCGGTTGCAGACCACATAGTGGTGAGAAGGGAGTTTGCGGGTTTGCCTGAACCAGCAAATGATTTTAAAATCTGCACATTTTATAAGGTTTCTCCTGAAACTTCCATGCCAACAGTAAAAGTTAATGGAAAACTACAGGAACCAGAAAAAAGCCAGGACGATTAAGGATTTGGACACCTCGAGAAGAAAGGTATGGATTACTTTGCCAGGTAGGTAAAGAACCCAGAGTTGTGGGTTCTGGCTGTGGGTTCTAAGGAAAATATGCAATAGGTAGTTGAAGGTGGAAGTTAGAGATATTCAACCATAATTGTGTCCAGTTATAGAAATCAGGACTCTGATAGCTTTGCATATTTTCTCTTTGTTATTTATTTATATTTATTTGCGTAGCCTAACCATTTTTTTTTATTCCTGTCCTTCCCATCAGTATTTTATTTTTAAAGTTGGTGCAAGTCAATTTTACAAAGTTAATAGAATACTCACTGGGACCATGACTGAATTTGAGTGGTAATTAACATAGACGGCAATGGGTTCAATGACTATTGGGACTTTGTCTTCTCATTTGGGAGAAGGGCAAGAACTTCACCTATCATAAGGAAAGCTGCATCTTGCTAGGCTAAAATATGCTTAATTGCTTTGTTGTTGTACAGCAATTCAAGTCTTGTAGAAGGGTGCATATGGAAGTAGTCAAAGGGGTTGATGAAGCCTCTTATCAGCTACAAACTCATCCTTCAGTACCTGCTCTGGGATAATGGACTGGACTCTAGGCATTTCTCCTTTAGAATGAAAACATTAAGCAGAGGATACTGGAGGGACATTGCAGGAGGAAAGAAGCTTCTCTTCCTGGTTTCTGTGCATGGAATTTACTTAGCTTGCTCTTGCTACATGATCTGTCAGCGGTGTGTGTGTCTGTGTGTGGACATCTGACAGTGCTTTGCTCTGTTTGCACACCCAGAATGCACAGCCCCTCAACTACCTCGCAGCCCCAGGTCGAGAGGCCTGGTGATCACCTTACTGCAGGCTTCTTGAGAGGGACACCACATGCTCCTGGGCCCATGCTTTTAGCAGTGCTAACACTCCCTGGCATGCCCCTCCACCTGTCTTAGCTTGCCAGCCCCCTACAGGTTGTTTCTGAGGTTTTTCCAATGTGGAGAAAGTCTGCTCCTGACTTTGCACCTGCAGAAACATCCTAACTT